GTGTAAAGGCTCACTCTGTCCTTGGCGTTGACATCTGCTCCACAGTGAATAAGATGCTCGGCGCACTCACAGTGTCCTGTTCTGACAGCAACATGAAGCGGCGTGCTGTGCAGCTGAGAGAGGGAAAAAATATGTTTGCTTTTGCTAGAAATACAACGAAAATATTTCAAAAGTCCACTCTGATGATGTCACCACAGACAAAAGAGCAACCTTGTCTCTGGAGGTGAACTTGGCTCCCTGGTTGAGGAGGAGCTCCAGGGCCGACAGGCTGCCTCCTCTGCAGGCCCAGTGGACTGCTGTGGCCTCCAGCTGAAAAACAGTTTGAACCATCAGCCTTTCTGAGTCCACAAACTGTAAATAAAGACACAAAGAGCAGATACAAGATGTGCCAGCACCTCTCACCTTGTCTTTCTTTTCAATAGCAGCTCCAGCCTCAAGAAGTCTTTTAATCACATCCACATGTCCTTTGAAGGACGCTTTGTGCAACGCTGTCCTCTGGAACTGGATATTTAAAAACATGGCGTTTGTCCACATTACAGAGAAGGTTTGATGTTACAGCTGCAGCTCAGTTTGACATATTTTAGTTTTATCACAAGTTTCAACACAAACAGACTCTTACGTTGTCAGCGACATTAGGATCTCCTCCGTCTGTCAGGAACTTCTCCACCAGAGGAAGTTTGTTCTCACTGACGGCTGTCAGAAACAGCTGCTCGTCCACCGACTCCGGCTGAAGGCAAGAAACAAAAACATTTCTGTAATAATGTTTAAAGGCGTCAGAGAAACCAACCAGTGATAACCCACACTCCTGTGTCTGTCGCTCCCTGACAGCACTCATTAAAACAGGCAGAAAGCCAGCTTTAAACCAACAGTCCCTAAAAAGATTCTTAATGTCAGCTGCTGATTTAAATTAGCAAAAAACTACAAAAAGCTTGTGCTGTTTGAGCACATAGGTTGTATAATTGGCTTGTTTTGGACCCACTTCTTCACATTTATGTGAAAATAGACAAATTTGGACCATTTTTTTAAACATTTGTTATACCAAATAACATAACCAGGACATTATTTCTGTTAGAAATGAGCATACAGTTAGTGCTCTTCAAACGACTTTAACTTAGTTTAAAACTTAAACAACAGGGCTGCACTGGCTCTGCAAGAACTCTGCAGGGCTGTTCAACTGGTGGCCCGCGGGCCACTTCTGACCTGCGAGTGACCAAAGTTCGGCCCGCCAATTGGTTCATTCATCTCTAATGCTGCGTTCACACCGAACGCGATTTCAGCTCCAAAATCGCAGCCAACGCTGAAGTT